ATTTATCACAGCAAAAGCTCAATCTCATACTAATAAGAAAGTACAGCCGCGTGTCTTTGGGACTCTTTGTGCCAAGAAGCATAAAGCTGGCTTTTGTAGCCATAATCTGATCAGCATGAATATCAGATACAGTTGAGCCTTATGGCAACACTCATCAACATTACGAGCAACAGTTATGGCTATAGTAAACTAGACAAAAGAAGCTTTTCACATAAATATAGACATTTCATAACTGGCATTTTACTGTTTTGGCTTTTTGAGGCTCAACAATACCATAAACCAGCAGACAGCAGTTCAACACCTCCGAATCAACGGCAACATGGATGATTTTCCCCAGACAGACATCGCATCTACTTTAAACAAGCAGGTATTAGACTGATCTAGAGGCTGGACTTTCCAAAATGTCAATAAATGGTCGGGTGACCCAAATAAAGCTGAAACATTTTCTCATGTACCTCTGGTGATATCGGATACAGATAGTTTTGTTAAATAGGTTTCACAAAATCCATCTCTGACATATCTGCCTCCATTCCAGTTCAATCGGGATGAATGCAATATCGTCTGTGGTATTCAAAGCATTGAAAAATAACATTAAGGGGATCCCCAATGGCCTGCGGGTTAAGGCACCAGCCATAAACTGCAATGTGCCGTGTTCAAATCCCAACAAAGACCTTTCCTTCTCTTTTCCCATATCTCCTGTCATCTCTGTACCGTCAACTCTCTGATAAAAAGGTATGAAAAGCCCCAAACATACTACAGATAACTAAAGAAAAATTACATTTAAAGAATTCAACTGCAACATCTCTTTCCAGAAACAGTGTCCCCCCCCCCCCGGAACTACTTTCTACCAAAGAAATAGTCCCAGTTCAGAACGAGGACTATGGATTGTCCACAGTAACAGACACACTGTCTCTGGAAAGGGATGTTGCTCTGAGCACTGCAAACAGATTCCACCACTCAGCTCCACTGGGATGGAGGCAGAAATCTCAGAGATGAATATACAGCATCTCAACCCTGGATAAATAAACCCAAAGCAATCTGCATGACCGGATATCACAAGAAGCGAGGAAGAAAATATGATGGTTATCTTTTGTTTTGTGGGCAGAATTTTGGTGAGAAAACCCTTGAATATTGTGATATCAATTTCAACCAGTTTGACCAGCCCCAGTAAGATTTACTCCCTGAATCCCATGGGGGAAGAACCACAAGCTCAAAATATCCTCAGATGAAAAGAAACATAATTTTTATGCCATGAAACAACAAAACACACTTGTCTGTTTTTGTCTCCCCCTCTTCCTTCATGTTGATTTTGGCCCCTATGGCTAGCCGGGACTCCATCTTGGCACGACCCTGCCACAGAAAGCTGCTTTTACCAGCATTCAGCCGGCCTTCTATGGTAGCATTGTCTGTATGCTAAACACGGCCTCAGACCACAGGCTCTCCCCAAAAAACTATCGGCCCTTTGACCGCCTTAACAAAACAACACAGCCTTGATTCCTGAATGTGGGATCACAGAGCTGAAAGTTTGCCATTCCATTTAATGGTAATTAGCCTGCCGGGGTGAGGCGGCTACAGCATTGCTGATCATGCTGTACACGCTGGTGCGGGAGCCCATAAACGCTGCACTGTAAGTCAGTGCCCTGCTGTGTTATAAGTATGAGTTCAGGGTCACCATCACTCCTCCAGCAGACAACTACAACCTCTCTGACAGCACTGACAGAGCCGAAGAGCGGGCGCAATTTTTCAACTTTAACACAATAGTTTTAGAAGAGAAACAGACAATTAAATCCCGGTCAGCTACTTTTAAAAGTAGCTGGAAGAGAAGGCAAACTTAGCAGCCACTGACAAAACCTGAGTTCTTACTTTAATAATCCCCATAGGGACGATCATCCTCTGAGTTTGACCCTGTGGTCAGTCCTAAAGCAGTGCCCAGAACTCGAAGCTTCAAGGGCCAGTAACTTGGTCCAGTGCAACAGCTGGAGTATGCAAACAGGGCTGCAACTAACTAATCATTTCATTATTAATTTGTTTATTAGAAAGAAGTTATTAATAAGTTTACAAAATGTCATCAAAATAATGAAAAATGCCAAATCTAATTTTTCAGAGCAAAAGGTAATGTTCCAAATAGCCTTGTTTGGCCAAAACATTACAGACATATAAACAGAGAAAAGCAACAAATTCTCACATTTGAGGGGCCTGAACCAGAAAATATTTGTAATATATTAATCCAGCGCCACAATTGCTTTCAAATTGTCAATCAACTAAAGAATGAATCAACTAATCAAGTAGTTTTTTCTCCAAAAATCTGTCCACCTTTACATTACACTGCATTCATTAGGCAGACTTTAGTACAAACTATGTATGTTTTTCTCTACACACACTGAGAAGATTTAGTGGTTCAGGTTCTTGCGCAAGGACACGTCCACAAGGACAGAAAGCAGAAACAGGAGTCAAACCACCAACCCTATAATTAATGCCCAAACCACTCTCCACCAAGCTCTACAACTTGACCATGAAGATTTACAGTTTTTAAACCATTATAAACCAAATCCGTTCAGGTTTTCCAAATGTTTTAAAGAAATAAGCCGCTGGAAGACAAAAGGAAACTGTGATGGGCAAAATTACTCAATAACATATCAGAGGAAATAAGTGATGGATTAATCCGTGAAAATAATCACTGATAGCTGTCCTTAAGCTCCACTTGAACCCAGGTCTTTCAAGCTAACAACTGTTACCCAGGATGCAGCTGGTGGCCAGCGAGGATTTCCCGCCGAGATAGACCGTTCCAATTAAAGCTGGAGTGCAACGGGCTCTCAGTTTTTAACCACAACCAAGACGAGCAATTCCATCCAGAGAGCACTCAACCCACATTAGAAGCTCAGCAGCCATTCTGCCTCCATTTTACCTGTTCAGATCTCAGCTGTGCTAATGTGCACACAGTTCCACTTTCCCTTTCCTTGACCACAGCCAATTTCAGAGGATGCATGACACTGCAGGCTTCCAACCGGCTCTGCTTTATGACCTGGCAGGCGGGCACTAAGCTGAGGCAGCATGACAGAGAATATCGAAAAAAAAAAAAAGAAATCTCCTAAACAACAATCATACAGCAACTGATTGACACATTTCAGCTGCACAGACATGCTAGCTCATCACAATGTTGGAACAAGATCAACTTGCTAACAAACAAAAAAAAAAAAAAAAAACGAAGGAAAAGCTGAAGTGTAATACTATTTGAGTTAAAATGTGACTCAATCAAGGGAAATTAATTTAGGAAAAAGTTGTTTTTCTAATTAAAGGCTTGTTTATGTTATCTTGGCAGGATGTGCAGAAAGGGCACAATCCTATATAAACTGGGCAATAGTGGAACCATCATTGATTTTGCCTAAATGAAGCTGTCACCAAGTGCTGCAGGACAGTTTTCCTCCCAAGAACATCACGGATACAAACTTCAGTAATGTGAAGTGACACTTTAATGGACACAGAGAATGAGATGTGCAGTCCTGATTGTCTGAATATTCCTATTAATTGACATTTGACACTATTTGGATTGCACAGCCATTACAGAGCGCGCAGTCACCCTCCTTTGTTTAAATTAGGGTGAGCGCCTACACAGGAAGCCAACATAGATGTGCTCAGAGTGGGGGCGAGTGTGGTCAGCTTCCTCCCACCTCTCAGATGTTTCCACGGGTTTGACCAACAGCGCTAACCTAAATAGCTCAGCTATAAAAAAAGAAAAAAGGGTGCTTTCAGTGTGTGCGCAGAAGAGTTTCGCATACTTTGACCCTGAGCTGCTGCTGTCTCTGTTGTTAGTGAATAACAGATATCTGAACACTTCACTGGGTCAAACGCCATCCAGTCCTTTGAAATACAGCAGCTGTCAGGGGAAGCTCTGCACCACAGAGTGCTGCAAAAGCTGGACCACAGACTCGTAGCAGTCTTGTTAACAGGCCTGATAGAACAAACACAATAACAACAACAACAACAACAAAAAGCCTGTTTGGACTTCATCTGTGCTCCCCGCTGAGATCTCCAGCAGCTACCACCTCTGTTCCTGTTCAACACAGAGGACACTGCCAACTCATCGTCCTCACAAATACAACCACAGGGACTGCCATGTGTCCTGGCACAACCCAACTGGAAATGAATACCTGGCTACGGTTGTATGAAAGCACTGAAAGTTAAATAAAAACGAGTGAGAGCATGAATGTGGGTTAAAGCCAAAAGTGAAACAGCAAGAAAATCTCTAGTTACAGCTTTTCAAAAGTGGGGATTTGCTGCATTTGTTCTTTAAAAAAAAAAAGGTTCAAGAACAAAACTTAAACGCGACATCTTCTCGGCTTCTGGGATATTGCAAATGGGAATTCTTTGACATTATATCACCAAAACATTTAATTATAAAGAAATCAATCCCCTCATGGCTGCCCTGCTATGGTTCAAACAGCTCCTAATCCAAAGCTGGTGGACAGGTGACCACACAGTGCACAGTGTGGTATACAAATGGGGAGATATCACTTGCTTTTGGTCAAAATAAAAACAGATCTGGGGCACTAGATAACTAAGATGGTGACGTTAATGCAGATTTAAAAAAAAAGGGCACTGAGGCTCAATATTGGTCAACTGTAAGCCCCACACACACACACACACACACACACACACACACACACACACACACACACACACCTGATCACATTAACTCAAACCCTTTAAAAACCATGTATTGCATTTGAACCAGTGGAAGTGTGCCCTGGTGCTAACGTTAGCAGCATTAACAGTAGTAGTAATAGTAGTAGTAGACCTGTGTTTAAATGCCTCAGGTGTGCACAGCTCGCCATCTCTTCACCAGCATACCCGGGCTCTGGGTACACATTTGGCACACACACACACACAGACACACACACAGACACACACACACACACACACACACACACACACACACACACCAGTATATGTGCATTATAAAAAGCAGCTTTATTCTGCCCCTGTGTGTGTGTTCACTGTACCTGAATCGCCCTCCGCAGTGCTGGCATTGGTCCCCAACCCAGCCGGGGAAGCACACACAGTTGCCGGTGGCGGTGTTGCACTGGCCGTTCATGCAAGGTTTGTCGCATTCCTTCGCCTCGGTGACCCCCGGCAGCCCGGAGAGCAGCCCGATAACCGAGAGCAGGAGCGCGGTTGTCAGCATCAGGAGGCTCCGGCCCCGGTCGGAGCCCGAGCAGGCCCGCCGTGTCGCCCCGTACATTCTCTCACAAAAGATGGCTGCTTGAGGCAGGCGCTCCGCTGCTTCGGGGATAGCGACTCAACGAGCTGCCCGCTGGCGTGGCTCCGTTTATCGGACTCGAGGTGAGGTTTCTCCGGAGGTAACGTTTTAGTGTTGTCGTTAAGGCTGGTCTTTGCTGGTTACTTGGTTTACATCTTCCCAGTGGTTCCGTTACCCAGCGCCGCACCAAGCCGCATATTGACATCCAGAAGTGACGTTATGGCAACGGAAATGCGCAACCACGGGGCGAAGCAGGGCTTTAAACTTTTATTTTGAAAACAGAGCAGAAATCCCGCCCCCTTTTTAAGAGTTAGCCTGTTTGCTTCTCTTTTTTTTTTTTCTAAATACCTGATCATAAATAGTTTCTTTTATTGGTTATTCTGTAAAGATTAAATATAATACCTAAATTGTGTGCCCATATTTTAAGCTAAATTATTATTATTTATTTTATTTTTTTGATTAAACACACAATAACAAACCTACAGGAATAAGAAACATATGGAAATATAAAGAAAGAGACAGTAAATACATATTCAGGTATAAATAAGAAGTAAAATAAACTGAACGAAAAGGGGGATTAAATCAAAACAGCAAAAAGCGTGAAATATGCCCTCTAATCTTCTGTGTTATTTTACTGGAATAAATATTCTTAAAATAAAAAAAGGATTAAATTTAAAAAACATGCAAAGGAAGGATTGCTATTACTCAATTTACAGCAGTGAATGTGATATTTACCCATAAGAATAATCATGTTTATCAATTCAAATAGATTCATTTAAATTGTTCTCATAAAAAAATGACCGATTATCTAATTACCTTTTTTGAAATTAAGAAAGATGGAAACTATGGATGGAAATTATTTTACTAGCCATTCAACTCTATTGAGAAATAAGAACACTAGATGTAGTTATGGTCTTCCTTTACATCAGAGCCCTTGCACACCTATAAACACCCACACAGCTGATTTAAATTATTTCCCTGAATAAGACCTCTTCTCAGGACTCTGTCAGTGTGTACAGACTGAGCTTTACTGACACTGAGAGCGGTAACGTCTGCATCTTTCAAGCATTGGTGTTATCAACCAGAATAACTAAACACCTGTGTCAGTGTGAATACACGTACAGTATTTATATATATATATATATAGAACAGCTTTCCTGCACTGAATCTAACATGGGTGAACTGCCTTGAGCATTAAAAGGTCATAATGTACATGACTGTAGTAATTTAGTTTCACAAATAATCCAGTAATGTTCAATGTGGTGAATCTCTATTACTTCATCAACAGAATAGTGATATTAGAGACTAATAAAACCTCAAAAGAGGCTTATTATTATTGTTTTCTTTCATTGTCTTAGGCTATATAATTGCGTATCAACATAAATATTGCCTATACAGAATTTTTAGTAGCACGAAAACCAGAGCTAATTATTCATAGGACTGGTGTTTAAAGAGAAACATTCCTGTTTTTATCAAAGTTTTTTGTGGTCGTTTGCCTAATAATGTTGATGGGATTAATACCAGAGTGAATAATCAGAACCAAGGACACAAAACTGTACAAACGGTATAGAACAGTTTATTAAATTTAGACTTGTAAGAAGTCATCATATTCCAACGCGCTCCGTCGCATGAAGCGCATTCATAATAACACCAACCCAAAAAGGATTGATCACGTCATCAGAACATAAATAAAGCAAATAAACATATTTACAATACAACATGGACAGAGAATGGGGTTTGTGCACAAGAACACGCAACTACATCTCCAGACAGAGGCATCAGAGATTGAGGAAGAGGAGGGGTGTCTGATTTTTCAATGGAATTGTCCTCAGGAAAAGATACCTGAACGGCGGGAGTGAAAGGAGGATGAACAATATGCAACAAAGCATGAAAAAACCTATTGTATAAATCACATTTTCTTGGTTTGAGTGAAAAGAAGAAAATCTCTAGAACCTCCAATAATACACTATTGTCAATAATGCTGTTTTCAGTGTTAATGGTATACAGCTATTTACTACTGTAGGTGATTGAAGTAGTGGAAGTTTCCCTCTTATCGGTTGTTATTGTCCACAAACAATTCTTTATATCACAATTCTCTCAGGAACTGACTTCTATAAAACGGAGGAAGAAAAAAAGTTCCTAAATCCTTTCATCTAATTTTGTGGGAGAGACTTTCTTTGAAATATCAAACATTAATTCTACAAAAGGTGTTACGCTGTCAACAAAGGACTTAAGTAACTGTTCCTACATACTGTCGTTCACAAAGCAAATTTGATCTGAATTTGCAGCATGAGTTTTCACATTTTCCCCCCTAACTTGAGGATATTTCATCATGGGACTAAACTCTCCAGTTTCCACCTTTATCATGGTGGGAGTACGGCCTGTTTTAAACTCTCTGAAGAGAGAATTGATAATTTCACAAGAAGAATGACTCATCTTCAGTGGGTTGAGTGGATGGATGAACGAACATCAGTTTGACTTCCTGTATCAGACACAGTCAAAGACTTTACAGTAATCAAAAAACCCTGCAGAATAATCAAAAAACTGCGCTTCTTTAAAAAAACAAAAAGAGAAGATCCTTAGAAAAGTACAATCATTGAAAGCACATTACAATTAGCAGTTTGTGTGTGTGTAGTTACAAACAGGTCATGTGACTCTCCCAGCACTTCTTATGTACATAAAACAATGCTTATGTGGATCACAAGACCAGCATCAGGTCCAGGTCCCCTGTACACAGTGTAGAGGGGATAAAACAGTATCATCTGCTTGACTAAATGCTATTTTTCCTGCATCATGGGAGAGCTGCAGATCTCAGTATTCGTGTTTGTTCTGCTTCATCGGAAACACCAGCTGGATGGGGTTGGAGCACAGTAGCACAATTTCAAAAATGTGAGGTGAGTTATCAGTTACAGAAAAGCACACTTAACTGACTTTCAAATGGCACTCTGGTCCTGCAGGTTCTCTTTTGGTGCTCAAAGCAGGGCAAACCCCTTCCACTTGGTAGCCCAAACGTGAAAACAAACACTGGGAATAATTTCAAACAGCTAGAAGAGGTGACTACCATCATCTGTCTCTGGAGGTCACACTGTAACATTCAGCTATCCATTAATGGCAGAGATCGTCTCCTCTTTGTTCCCTCTCCCACAGTATATCACACTATCTTACAGTTGTCTCATGAAAAAGCCATTTACAAGCAATGGCGCCTTACAATATATACAGGATTGATCAAACATATTTTCTGAATTAAAGAAAAAGATATAAAACAGATTTTTCCCTTCAATTATGTACACAGAGCAAAGAGGAGGTGTTAGAAAATGATTGAGCACCTCAGAGTCATTGTGTAAATTTACACACAGAAAAACTGCTTCCAAGTACTGGCTTTAAGATAACAAACTCACACTCATCCCTTCATCTGCCTATCAGGTACATGCAAAAAAGACAACAGCCAGAGGCTCAGCATTCATTCAGAGGGGGCCACAGACCCCTTTCTAAAGGCAAATCAGATCTCATGAACTGGATTCATAAACTCTTCTCTAAGCAACACGTCGCCTTTTCTCATAAAAAAAAAAAAAAAAAAAAAAAAAAACAGGAAAAAAGATGGGGGTTTTTTGGTCTCCCAAATCAGGCATATTGGGTGTCAGAACACCGGTTAGCGCTCGTACCAGTGATCGGTACTAGTCACTAGTAGATAGGATGATCAAGCATCAAAGGCCCCTTTGGAGTGTCCTCTTGGTTTTGATACCTGAGGTGTAGCGTGGGTGAGTGAACACTGGCTGAATGTATGGAGCAAGCAGCGTGTTCTGACCAGACCGGGATCAAATCATATCTAAAATAGTTCTTAGCACATCTGTCATGTCTGAGTACTAGATGATTGAGTCTGTTGTTGACAATCACAGGTAAACATTTCACAATCAATTAGTTCTGATGTTCTGTGGGTAACAACTTAATCTACACTAAGCTGACTGGCGGCAGTAAAACACTGCCCATCTGGTGCTCAGAGCCATTTAAAATAACCACTAAGAATTATTTGCAAGTACCACTTGAGCCAAGTCTGGTCGTGAACATTACAGAATGGCTGTCGCTTTTAAAATATTCTTTCACTTGTAAGTGTGATTAAAATTGGGAACGTGGGCAGCATAATGGTGTGCAAATATGTAACATTATGTGTATTTGCCAAGAAGAGTAACTGTGCAGGACTTTGTCTGGCTGCTGTAAAGCCGCAGAGATAAATTACTGCACGTTTGTCGTATATGGCGTTTAAAGTGATCCTGTCTGAGGCAGTGTGTGATGGCAGGGAGGTTGTTCTCTTGGGCGGCAGACCAGTATGGGGATGAAAGGGAAATGTGGGAGATTGCGGGATGGGGGGGGGGGTTAGATATTGCGTGATGGGATTTTCAGGTAGTTGATGTCTGGCGTGAGGGACGGCCCATGGACGAGGCGCTGTAAGTGCGGGAGCGCTGCCTCATGGCCAATCGGCAGGGCATCTCCAGCTCCAGCTCCTGGAAGAGGGGAGTCCCTATGATCTCAGCCGCCTCAGGACGCTCGCTGGGGCTCCACGACAGCATGCTGTGCACCATACTCAGCTAAACACAGACAGAAAACATTCAGTACGGTGAGGTCTTTCAGAACAGCGTCATGCAATATTACCATCCATCAGTTCAACTCATTTACTTTGCTTAACACTCATAACAGAGCAGAACCAGTACCAATTGTAATTTAAGCGCTTAATTACCCATGCAACTTATTTCATGAAATACTCCACACACACACACACACACACACACACACACACACACACACACACACACATCTTAAAATAGAACAGTACACAACTAGTAAAGTGGGATACTGGGATAACAGGGCGAGGGCATTTCCAGAACTGTAGAATCACAGATTATGCTATGGGATTATGTTAATCTCATTACTAAGTAAACAGGTAAACAAGGTAGTGTAACCAACCCAACACCAAACAGTAGGCCGGTGCCTGGTGTGCTACTGAAGAACATATTTTGTTGATTATTTGAACATATGGATTATTTGATTCTAATGGAAATATATGGATATAAATTATATTTACAAATCATGTTGATACAACTATCTGAGATACTAATGCTGTTGTTTTATGTAAAATTTACATTTCAGTGTGTAAAATGAAGATATTTGCATATTAAACTTTATATTCTGTTGATATTGGAGCCAAATAATCCAACTCCACCTCCTAAATGAATTAGC